GCACATTATTAGGAAAGGCGATTTGCAAAGATTCATTACAAAACATTATACTCACTTCTTCTGTAGATGAGGCTGGGTCACGAATGATTCGCGCGAACAGACGCATTTATGTAAATCGGGGGCGCATTCCCTTCAAAAACAAACGTAATCCACTCCGTCTTCAGTGGCTCAGATGTCGGGAGTAAATGCTAAGGTAAGACACCAGTCCAGTCTGTGCTGAAACGCTACTGTCAATCAAACTATTGTGGGAGTGGCCTGTCTGTGTGACGTCAGGCTTGATTTGAGAGAGGGGAAAACATTTAACCACATTTAAAAAAAAAAACACTGGGTGGATTTTTATCATTTTAGGGTGGTTGTGTACACACACTGCCAACCCACATTTCAGTTCAAACAACTTGTAAAAGTGCATGTAGCATCCGATGACCCCTTTAAAGAATTTTCTGCAACACACCTTAATTCAAATTCAATTTAAAAAGGCAAGACTTTAAGCATTTTCAATTTAATGTGAAAAAAAAAATAAAAAGCTCAAATGAAGGTTCATTTAAACCTAGCAATGATGTCTTTTATTTGATCATTTCTTGAAGCGATTAGACTGACTTTCAGGTCAGTCTTACTGGTTGATTTGCATTTGCTGAATGTTTTTGCTAATAGAGTCACAAACAGATCGAGCAGGCCGTACGCAAAGTTGATGTGGAGAAGGACATTCAATTGCTGCTCGAGGATGTCAGTGCTACGGCGGATGACAACAAAGCTGAATTTCTCATGGCTGACTACTTTGTAAGTCTTTGAGTTTACAACACAAATTTGTTTGTGTTGCAGGAATTGATATGAAATGGGTTGCTGTTTGTGTGTGTACGTTTGTGCAGGAGGAAGAAGGAAAAACAGTCATGGGGAAAGACAGAAGGAAAGATACCATCAGGGCCAAACTTCAGTCTGGAGGACTGCATCACGAAAACAAAAAGCGACAGAGAAGGTTTAGATCTTGTAGATACTGTGTTTCAGAGCTGAGCGTATGTGATTTAAAAGGGTCATATCATGAGGAATCACATTTTCCTTCAACATCTGAGTTGAAGGAACACGTCAAAGGCACTTTTTGGTGTCCAGAAATCTGCCTGTCAGGGCACATTAAGATAAAAAGGAAGAAACAGGACGGATACTGTTATTCCTAAATACCAGAAGAACTAATCAGAGTAAAAGCGGTAGGAAGTTCATGAAAAACTACTTTAGACCACAGGGAACTGAATTAAAAAAAGTATGATATGACCCGCTTTAAATAGAACTCTTTTATTCCTCAGAGATCTTATTAGGTGGTTTTGTCCTGTTTATATTGTTCATTATATGACATTTAGCTCAACACTGAGAAAATGGTGAAAGTATATAGAGAACAACCAAACTTCTCCAATCAAAACAACTTGGAGGAAACGGAACAGTTACTGGATGAGGTCAGATCTTACATTTCATACCAATGTTCTGTTGAATTTTAATCATAACTTTGCTTTGCTTCAAATTAAAAAAAAAACAAGTTTAAATGAAATGTAAATTTTATCCATTTAAATATTTTATCAAAAATGTAAGGCTATTTAACAAAAAGGTTTTAACAAACTAAATACTGACTGCTCTCTCCCGGTAGGCCATCCTCAAACTGGACCTTTTGGAAGCGACGCATTGCAAACTGACTCACAGTCTGGCGGAGATAGAGGGCAAGCCGAAATCAAGACATCGATTCAGGGACAGCATCACTAAATGGAAAGAAAAGGTGAGGTTGCCCGAAAATCTCACGCACACACACATACACATATATATATATATATATATATATATATATATATATATAGTATCAGCATGCATTTTAAATGCAAACCTTTTGGAGTAACTAATTTTATTTCATTTTAGTAAAATTATTATCAGCATGCATTTTAAGTGCAAACTTTTTGGAGTAACTAATTTTATTTATTTCATTTTAGTAAAATTATTATCAGCATGCATTTTAAGTGCAAACATTTAGGAGGAACAAATTAAAATATATATATATATATATATATATTTTTTAGTAACTTTATCATAATGCCTTTTAAGTTCACATTTCAAAAGTTCACACAAACAAACGTTGAACAAAAAACTGAGGAGTCTGTGTAGGTACTGCAGGGGGACTGATAAAACATTTCTTTTAAAAAAATTAATAAATATGGTTAGTGTCTCTAGTGTCAAAAGAAACTCCCTTAAATCATCCTTGGTTGATTCGGTTGATCCTATCATTTAAAACCTCCATTAAACATGTAAATCTTGATGAATCCAGGACAGGAAAAGGATGTAAACATGAGTTAATTGAGAAACTAGGTCATCACTAGTTTAGCATGATGTTTCGTTTATGCTGTTGCTTTTAAAAAGCCTACACTTTTTAGACTATAATATATGGGTTTCCCCAAGGCTGCAGGGTGAAGAGAGACAGTATCGCAATTAATAAGCCTAATTTAGAGGTAAAAAAAACATCTAAATGTTGCATGACCTCTCTCTGGTTTTGCTCCAGGACTGTGAGCACAGCGTTGTGCAGCTTTCTCGACCGGTGAGGATCAAAAAGACTCCGTTCAGATCACGTCAGTCCATGAGGAGCTCCGTGATCAATAAGAGTGCGCTGACCAACCAAAGCCCTGATACGACAAGTGAAGAGCCCTCGCCTGAGACGACCGATGTCACGCATAACACAGACGAGCAACAGAGCGGCCCGGTTAACGGAAGCATGTCTGAATCTGAAGAGGATACAGGTAAACAGCAAGCAAAACATGTTTACCTTTATTTTATGAACACACAAACTCCTGATTTCATTTTTGTGTTAAATTCCCTAAACAGGCTCAGAATTCTGCTCAATCGGCAGATGCAAGGCTTTATACAGCTTTACGTCAGAAAGAGAGGATGAGTTAAACATTAATGAAGGTAATATGGTAGTTCATCTTAATATATCATCCCTCAGCACCTGCTTTCTGTTGACTCTCCCTCTTCAATCTGGCAGGAGACGTACTGGATATCTTTCAGAAGGACGACACGGGCTGGTGGTTCGGTGAGCTGAACGGACAGAGAGGACATTTCCCATCCACGTATGTGGAAGAGCTGCCTGTTTTCACTGAGATGAAGTCATCTGAAGCTTAGCTTCAAAAGAGCATGTGATGGAAAAGGTCACTGACCTCGACGCCACTGAGTCATGATTCATTCGTGCTGTAGGGTTAAACACACTTTATGCGATTACTGGAAAAAGGACTTTAAATTAAAAAATTCAATGGATAAAATCAGATTCATCTGAATCATTGACTCAAAAGAACAATTCACTCACAAATCATGCATTAGTATGACTTGAGTAGTTGACGAGCAATATCTAGCCGATTAAATGTTTTAGAGCAGAGCATAAATGTATTTGCTACGAAAATGTCCATAAGGTCTAGAAAAGATAATTAAAAAATTTCACGTTTTCTGTTTTTTTCATGAAAGGAAGCCGATAAATTAAATCCATTATTAACTTTATTGTAAAAAAAGAAATTTACATGCAATGCAAATGTTTTAGACCTTTTAGTCACTGTAGTATAAAACTAAAAAAAATGTAAAAGCACTTTAAAACTTTTGTTTTGTTTATTTTATGACTTGTATAAATTTTTATTGCTAAAATTACAAATCAATGAATATACAAAGAACTGAAACAATGAAATATTTCATATTAAGTAATTACTGATGGTTTAGGTAAATAAAAGCTCAATATACTGTATGTGCTAAACGTCTATAAAAACGGTGTCTGGGTCTCTGACCGTTTTAAATGGATCTGAAATGAAAAATCGGCTTTTGTTCGTCAGTCAGGCTGTCTTTGCGCCACTGTGAAGTGCCACAAACTCTCTCCGGACGTTTGCAAGGAAGGCGGGAAAGTTATTGGTCTCCTGCAGTCTGCGCTCTAGATGTGCCATTTTCTCCAGAGGAGGGTCACAGGAGACAACTGAGGGGAAAATATGATCATGTTATTCAGTACTTCAGTTGGGTCAGTCATTCAGGGGTCAGTAAGATTAAAAAAAATAAAAATAGTTTTATTCAGCAATGATGCATTATATTGATCAAAAGTAACAGTACAGACATTTATATTAATGTTACAAAAGATTTCTATTTCAAATAAAAGATGTCTCTGTATTCATCAAAGAATCCTGAAAAAAAAGTATCTTGGTTTCCACAAAAGCGTTAAGCAGCACAACTGATTTCAACATTGATAATGATGAAAAATGTTTCTTGAGCAGCAAATCAGCATATTTGAATGATTTCTGAAGAATCATGTGACACTGAAGACTGGAGTAATGACACTGAAAATTCAGCTTTGATCACAGGAATAAATTACATTTTAAAAGATATTTTAATAAAAAACAGTTATTTTAAACTGTAAAAATATTTTACAATATTACTGTTCTTACAGTGTTTTTATGAAATAAATGCAGCCTTGGTGAGACTTTTCAAAAACATCAAAAATATCTTACTGACCACAAACTTTTGAACTGTAGTTTAAGTTTTGTAATGCCTAATTTACCATTTATCATTAAATTATAAAATTAATATTCATATTTATCAATGAGTCTAATCAAATGCGTGACGAAAAACATCCAAGGTGTAATTTAACAGTACTTAATTTCTTTATGGTAACTAGTGTTTTTTTTTTTTTTACAAAAATCAAAGATAATAAAGAGATCAGAAGATGAGCACTTACTGTGGTAAACGCCCTCTGCATCGAGCTGTAGGAGGAACGTATGGACCATGTCTGGATCTTTACGACTGATGTTCCTGAAGACAAACTGCAGCTTCTCACCTGCAAATAAACAGAGATGTTCATGATACACAAGCAAACCTTATCTCAAGTTTGTTACCACTAGTAAAAAAAAAAAAAGCTTTTATTTTTTAAATTGTATAATCAGGAACAACAATTTGAGTGAAAAGTTCAATTGAAAATGCTTACATTTGATTACCGACCTAGAAATAGTGCCAAATCATTTTCAAAATCCAAAAACTTTGTTCATTTCAAGGTTTAAATTAAAGAAAATCACAGATTTTCAATGTGGTCTCAGACCTCACTCTGTTTGAATGATGTATCTAATGCATAATGAAAGGGGGAAGAAAACTACATACTTCAGTCATACTGTATGTTATAGTTAAACACAAAGTCTTTACCTTGGATTTTTCTGATCTCAAGACTGAGGTGTTTCTGAAAGATGTCTTTACATATGTTCAGATTTTTCAGTCTGTCCTTGTTGGCTTTATTTTGTGACTGAATCACTATAAAAATGTAGTAAACAAGCATTAGTGACATCAGTTTGAATAGAAAGCAACAATAAACCTGTCCACAGTGTCTGTCTGTCACCTAACAGTCGTATTCAGAAAATAAAGAGTCCATGTGGCAAAATTAATGAACAAATATGAATAAATAGAACTTAATATTCTATTTGTTTACCGGAAATCCAGCATTTAATTCAGAGATATTTATAGTTAATAATTCACGAATGAATCATCCTTGTATTTCTTTTCAATGATTTAGTAGAAATGATTCACAAAGTGTTTCATAAATCACTTATCTGTAATGGATCACTCTCTCTACCTCTCTTTAAGTGTAATCCATTACACATTAACATAAAGCCGCATGGGAGGAAAGATAGGCCTACTCACATTCCCTGTGTTTGGCCTGATCCTTCTTGAGCTTCTCGATTCTCTGGAATAAGAGCGCCTTGTGATGCTCTTTGTCTTCAATCGCTGACACCACCTCAAGATGTTCAGCACTCTTCTCTTTCAGTGAAGATGTTTCCTCTTTCAAATCTAACACAAAAGAAAGGAAATATCCTGGCAGTCATTCATCTGACAAATCAAGACAGCACACAATATTAAATTGCTGTTATTAAAAAAAATGTCAAGCAAGTGTGCCGATCAACTTCTCACCTTCTTTGAATGTTTGTATCATGTCAAACATGTTTTCATCCTCCTTGCATTTCTTAAAACAAGTACCTATGTAGAAAGAAAGAAAGAAATTATTTCCTGGGCAACTTGAAATATTCACATTAATTTTTCTTTCAATACAAAATAATTTTTATTTATTTTTTACTACGGAAGCTTGTTTCCATCACCGGATAAAAGATTAAAAAAAGGTAACTGGGACTTTTTAAATCTCACAATTCTTACTATTTTCCTCACAATTATGGTTTTTATTTCACAATTCAGACTTTTTTTTTTCTTGAATTCTTAATTTCTTATTTCACAATTCTGAGTTTATATCAGAAATTATCAGAAAAGTCAGAATTTTGAGATGGTATTCCATATATTTTTCATATTTACATTTTTATTTGGTATTCCATAGCAGAAAAAAAAAAAAGATTTGCAAGATGTAAACTCAGAATTCAGAGAGAGAGAGAGAGAACATTTCTTTTTTTAATCCTGTGGCATAAACAAGCTTCCATAAAAAGCAGAATTGCAAATATCATAATGATTTTAATGCACTTTTTAGTTTCTGTGAATCAGTTGAAACTGATACAAACGAATTGGTTCAAAGCTATCATTCAAATAAAAAAATTAATAGCTAAAAAATAAAAAAAATCAGACCAAACTATATTTAAATGGTTAAATATATCACAATTTTTTTTCACCATTTCACCCATCAGTTTTAAATGCAGATGGATCATAATGACAGATGATTAAGCTTAAATGTCCTACTTTGCTTATGCTTTCTATTCAACAGATAGTCTTGTTAAAATGTATATTAACAATAACACTTGCACGTTCAACCCAAACCCACAAAACGAGTCTGTGCATCTCTTACCCAAGACGGACTTCATGTACTGCCTGTGTTCCTGACAGAGTTCTGCCACCCTGTCATTGAGCAGCTCTCCCATGGCCTGGTCCAGCAGTTTGGTCCTGATCTCCTCCAGTCTGCTGTTGAACTGCTCCACAACATTATAGTCTCTGATAGATGCCATACTGAGCTGCAAAACCATCCGAACAACACAATGACAGTTACTACCGTTACTACACCAGACTCAGGGTGTGTTTACTGCATATTATTACACATTATCTACTCTAATATAACATAACCTTACGATAAAGTGATATATGCATTATATACACGACATACTAATATCCATGTTTAACGGACAACCAATATAGCGTAACGTTACAGTTGTTGTTTTTGCTGTTTAGATATAATGTTTCAGTGCGATGTCTTTTTCTTCATTTCTAGGCACTGAAACCAAAATAATATTGATTAAATGTTGTTTTAATAGTCGGAAAGAAGATTTAAATCACTAACCCGTTTTATGGCGTGAATATAAACGCAAATGTATTCTTGTTGTTTTCAAAAATCCGCGCCCGGAACATCAGCAGTTAAACAGGAAGTGGCGTCAGATAAACGCGTCGTAGTCACAACTACAAAATAGCAGCATGAAATTACCTAAACTGTTCTTGGCATACATAAGAAATTAATTTAGTGTTCCTAAGTATGAATTTTATTTTCCCTCAAAAGGCGAAGTGTTTATTGGTTATCAGTGTTGTGGGTAACGCATTACAAGTAACGCGAGTTACGTAATCAGATTACTTTTTTTCAAGTAACTAGTAAAGTAACGCATTACTTTTTTATTTACAAGGTGAAAAGGCTTTTATATTTGCCAAAAATATAACTTTTTTATTTTAAAAACAAACAAGCAAGCCCTGTCCAGATTGTAAAAGTAACGCAAAAGTAACGTAACGCATTACTTTCCACAAAAAGTAACAAAGTAACGTAATTAGTTACTTTTTAATGGAGTAACGCAATATTGTAATGCATTACTTTTAAAAGTAACTTTCCGCAACACTGTTGGTTATAGACCCGATGTGCGGTCGGTCATTTTCCCTTCATTGAGTAACGTTAGTTTGTTATTGTTGCGCCATCTGGTGTTTGTTTGAGTGCTGGCTGCTACACTCTAAAAAATGCTGGGTTAAACACAGCACAGTGCTGGGTAAAATAGGGACAAACCCAGCAATTGGGTTGTTTTGACCCAGCGGTTGGGTTACTACCCAGAAG